AAGGACGGCTAGCGTAGATAGCCCTCGTGTAGCTGTGCGCGAAATTTCAAAAACAAATAAACAGTTGACAGCACAACAAGCATACGGCAAAGTTAACACTTGACAACGTGATTTCTTTTTCTGGATGACGCGTAAGTAAAAAAAAAAAGGTAATATGATGTCACGCAAACTCCAGCCTATTTAAATTCCGTGGCATGCTTTTGATAATTGTCTAGCATTTATAAAACAACAAAAATAAATCCTAATTAACAGGTTCTTATTGATAAATATATTGGTTAGAATAAGGAAAAAATGGTTATTAAAATTTTAATGAAACGTATAAGCATTTTTTGCCACGTTAGGAATTACTACAGCGAGATAACAACGAGAATGAAATTTAGAGAAAATCTATATGTTTGAATAACATTGGTGAGGCAGAACAAGACCACAAGTTATAAAGAGCTGTTGCTGAAACTTATAACAGAATCTAACGATTTCTAAATGCTATTTTAAATATCGTCTGTCGTGGCTTAGTGGTTAGGGTGCTTGGCTCGCAATCTACGGGTTCGAATCCCAGCCACAGAACATGTTCGCTCTTTCAGCCGTGAGGGTGTTATAATGTGACGGTCAGTTTTTCGTCGGTAAAAGAGTAACCCAAGAGTTGGTGGTGGGTGGTGTTGATTAGCTGCATATGAAGTTGGTTTCTTGATTGATAAACTTTTAAAACTCTTCATTCATACATTAGATATTAAACAAAAACTCCAAATAAGTCGTGGCAAACGTTATCGAATTGCTCTGAACGTTACTTTATTATTGATAAAATAAAAAAAACTAGAATTGTAAATTAAAACGAATAAGTCCTTAGAACTTTTGAGTAACAGCTAACATTAAAAAAGAAAAGAAAAAAAGATTGGACCCATCCTTTGTCGCGAGTCTTAAAAACAGAAAATAAAACATACTAAAGACTTTGACTTAGTTTGTAGTTTTGTCACTAGATGGCAGAAGAATGGTATGGTTTTTATCAAGATTTAGGGTTAAGGTTATTGAATATAAATATTTTACAAAAAAGGGGGAATTAAATTGCCCTTGCATTATTTGATTTTCTCCGCCTATTATACGATAAAAAACTTCGCCTTTAACCTACAAAACAGAAAACTCCAACACCGTGAGAAGAATCCAAGGATGACCAGTTTAATTTTTTTTTCTGTTATGTATGTGTTTGTAACCGTTTCGACATAGGAAAACAACTTTTAAATAAATTATAGGGCAACGTTATTAAATAAAAAAGAGGGAGCTTTAAAGTAATATTTTCACGAAACTTGTGGGAATAATATTCTTGTGTTATAGTCTTATTTCTTCTATATGCGTGTGAAATTAATTAAAGAACGAATGAAAAATCATTGTTACGTATTTTATATTATAATAACCATATTTCGGCTCAAAAACGACAATTACAGAAATACAATGGTGACAAAGAACGTTCTAATAAATTGCTGTCTTTTTCTTCTTCTACCCATAGTTAGGGAATCCAATGGTTGCATCTCTGGTGATTATTATGTATGCGTAACCTATCTGAATCCCAAACCAGGGCTTGGATTCTAACTG